GTCCATCCATTCCCAAGGCTCCTTACTGGATGTGGGGGTTGGCTTTACCCCTGTGCATTGCCATAATGTGTAGTAAGATGGGGCTGTGGTGCTATTCATGTAGTAGATGCCAAGGGACCCACGCTGCAGTGCAACACAACACGTTATAGTGATATGGACTGTAGATCAAGTGTGTGGTCTGTTGCCATGCATGGTCAGTCCATTGTAAATGAACCGATTGCCCAAACGTAACATAATGCACGCTAGTACATGCATAGGCACCCCAACAGCTTGACAAGGTGTGAAGGGGCCCTTAAAGTCATAGCCATCCTGGCCGGTCAACAGAGAGGTGGGGTCAACTGCGACTTTTGCATCAAAAGTCAAGATTTGCTGTGGATACATTTTGGATTACTGCCCCCCCCCCCCTTGTAGTAAAGTCCCCTCTTTATCAATACGTTTGCACCAACCTTATACAAGACCCAGCAATCCTAGATTGACAGGCATATAGTCATGACAACAGCTTGACCAGGTGTGAAGGGGCCCTTAAAGTGGTAGCCATCCTAGCTGACCAACAAAGAGGTGGGGTCAACTGCGACTTTTGCATGAAAAGTCAAGATTTGCATATCATTTTATCTGGCTACATTTCTGGACCCGTGGATCGTTTCGACACATGGTTGTTACCGAAGGTATTCCAAGGTTTGCAATGGGATTGTTTACGAGTCTACGAGGTCACCTCCTTGCAGTAGAGATGCAAGATCTTTGAAGCCTGTTATTGGGGAACGTCATGTGATTTCCTGTACATACTGTACATACAATTGGATTTCCTGTACATACAATTGGATACATTTTGGATTACCGTCCCCCCTCCCTCCCCCACCCCACCCTTTGTAGTAAAGTCCCCTCTTTATGAATATTTGTGCACCAACCTTATACAAGACCCAGCAGTCCTTTTCTAGATTGACACTCAGACCCACACGAGAACATTTTTGAATTTTTATTTCATCTTTATTTTTGAACTTTTTGTTACAAATTGTACATTCAATGTCTTTATAAAAATGCAGATGATGCCGCTTCTCACACGGGAACAAAAAAAGGTTATCGACTCGAGTGAGCAGCACAGCCTGTGGGCTTGGAGGTGGAGGGGATTGCGCTTATGAGGGTGCAGTACTGTGATTGGGGGGGGGCTCCTGTGTACATTTTTCATGATACACAACCTTACCATATATCTCGGGTGCTCGTTGCCTACCGACTAAATTGCAATCCAAACAGGTAACAAAATCACATACGTTCATATAAATATTTCCTGTTCACTGTGGTTCTGTTGCAAGTGGGGCTTCAGGTGTACATTGTTGGACGGTATGGGTTGGTACCTTGGTTATGGATTATGGCATTTTCTTGGGAAGGAGGGTGGCCCAACTTCCTGGCCCTACTTCCAAGGTGCTTGGATGGTATGGGTTGGTACCTTGGTTATGAATTGAGGCATTTTCTTGGGAAGGAGGGTGGCCCAACTTCCAAGGTGCTCTCTGATCAGTTAGGAGATGCATCTCTCCAGAGAGAGACATTGTATCCCATCGGATCTTCCCTGGGACCTACACCGAGTGGAGCAGATCCAGCAGGAAAACATCCCTTTGGGGCATCTGTGCAAGACGTCCAGATCGTGTCACCTTGTAATTTAGACTGCTGATGGTGCTGTTTTTGCGGATAAATTAACAGTAGCATGACATCAACCTCTGTGTGTACATAAACCAAGTATGTATGAAAATGTAATACACACTATATGGCCAAAAGTTTGAGGACACCTGACCATAAAACTTATATGCCCATTGTAAAACCATGGGCGGTAATATGGAGCTGGCTCCCCCGTTGGCTATAAAAGCCTCCGGCTCTTCTGGGAAGGTTTTTAAAAAAAGATTTTGGTGGGAATTTGTGCCCATTCAGCGAAAAGAGTATCTGTGAGGTCAGGAACTGAGTTTGGTCCAGAAAGACCTGGCTTATAATCAGCCTTCCAATTCATTCTAAGTGTCTAAGGTGAGGTGAAGGCCACTTGAGTTCCACCACAACAGACTCATCAAACCATGTCTATATGGAGCTGGCTATGTACACAGGGGACATTCATGGTGGAACACAAAAGGGCCTTCAGCAAACTGGTCACACCATGTCTTTATGGAGCTGGCTTTGTACACAGGGGACAGTTATGGTGGAACAGAAAATGGCCTTCACCAAACTCTTACCATGAGGTTGCAGAAGTTAGGTTGGAGAAGAAGACCTGGGTTGAAAGGTCAGGGCTCTCTGCAGGACACGTAAGTTCCTCCATGCCAAACCAGTCCAAGTGAAGGCCACTTGAGTTCCACCACAACAGACTCATCAAACCATGTCTTTATGGAGCTGGCTTTGTCTACAGGATACAGTCATGGTGGAACAGATAAGGGCCTTTACCAAACTGGTCACACCATGACTTTATGGAACTGGCTTTGTGCACAGGGGACAGTCATGGTGGAACAGGAAAGGGCCTTCACCCAACTGGTCACACCATGACTTTATGGAGCTGGCATTGTACACAGGGGACAGTCATGGAGGAACAGAAAAGGGCCTTCACCAAACTCTTACCATGAGGTTGGAGAAGTTAGGTTGGAGAAGAAGACCTGTCTTGAAATAAGCATTTTAATTAATCCAAATGGTCTTCAGTAGGGTTGAGGTCAGGGCTCTGTGCAGGACACGTAAGTTCCTCCATGCCAAACTAGTCCAAGTGACGGCCACTTGAGTTCCACCACAAAAGACTCATCAAACCATGTCTTTATGGAGCTGGCTTAGTACACAGGGGACAGTCATGGTTGAACAGAAATGGGCCTTCACCAAACTGGTCACACCATGTCTTTATGGAGCTGGCTTAGTACACAGGGGACAGTCATGGTGGAACAAAAAAAAGATCTTCACCAAACTATTACCACAACCTTGGAAGAGGACAATATTCTAAAATATCTTTGTAGGCTGTAGTATGAACAAACCTTCACTGGGAACACCTGAACTCAATCATTTGAAGGGAATTCCACATCCTTATGGCCATATACTGTAGTTGATGATCAGGTGTTTACAAACTTTTGGCCTCATAGTGTCCATTGTATATATTTTAGGCTTAGCATTCAAATAATAACTTTTTTATTTTATTTAAAAAGTACTTTTGAAGGACGTTAATATGGCTCTCGAAACTTGACTGCTAGCTCCAAACATAAATCATAGTTTTATGATTGCATATTTAATACAATTCTTACGTCCATCGTTTTACAGCAAATGGTTGTGCAGTGTTAAATGAGCCAATGGAAAAGAGAAGAAGGCCTAAAGTGTATCCAGGGGTACTTTGGAGAAACCAGTGTTGGTTGGTAAGATGTAGTTAGTTCGCAGATAGGTTTGCTGGTAGTGTCTTGGTGGTCA